TTGGTGAAATTCTCTTTGGTGTTTTAACATCTGGTTATGAAGTTTTGATTGAGATACTTCCTCTTTTCAACAGACAGTACTGCAGCTTCCCTGAGTTTTCATCTTTCAGTTTAGTCACATGGAAGGAGACCGTGAGCAGCCCTTTTCTATGAGGATTTTTCAAAAGTAGCCATCACCCTTAAAAAAAATTCTGGAAAATTAATTTCACCTTCCTCTGGGGGAAAAAATGGGGAAATCATCCATCAAACTACTTTGTCCACAAGGTTGGTGGTCATTTGTGCTCAACTCCAGGTTAGGTATAAAATCTTTCATCTAAGAAAATAAAATCAAAACAAAGAAAATCCTAGCAAGAACTCTTTACAATTACACTTGAACTGGTTTAAACTCCTTGTTCCTTACATTTTTTTCTCTGTGAGATTTGCTTAACCATTTTATTCTTTTATTCTTTTTTTCCCCCTTATTCCGGGTATATACCAACCAACTTCTAATGATTTTGGGCAGTTTGCAAAAATATGAAAAATTACCATACAGCAAAAGAACAAGAGGCAATGATGGCAAACTGAGCAACAATACATACCCATCCTAAGCAAAGAAAGACCTTAGTAAAGAGCCAGGTTTTCAAGGCCTTTTGAAATATCAAGAAGTAGGCAGGGAGCCCCCTGGATCTTAGGGGAAACCTCATTCTGGAGAGGCCTCAATAGATGGAATTGTTTAATTGGGATGACCCAGAGCACCTTTAACCCTATTGAACTGAAGTGGCTAACAGGTATTAGGGAAGACAATTGAATTTGAAAAAGAAAGCCAAGAAAGAAAGAAAAACCAAATCAAAAGAAATCATGAGACATTATCCATTATCCCCACAACAGTTTCTAGGATACAGTGGAATTATTCTGTTTGAGCTAGTAAAAGGCATTTCTGCTATTGCTGCATATGCCTTCATCTCCATCTAACATTTGCGCTACACATGGACTAAAATGGAATGCCTGCTATGTAATTGCTGCCATGAACCAAAGGCCAGCTACTCAATTTGTATTCCACTCCTTCAGGTGAAAATCTTATATCAGTCTTTTTCTTTTTGGCTGGCTTTTTATAAGATAGATAAAAATTCAAAAGTCTGGAGAAATCTCTTCATTGTATTCATAAGAACATGTATCTGAAGATTGGGTGAACCTTCATAGCCTTACAAATAATATCTAACAGAAGTAAAGGAATATGAGCAGAAGCAATTCTCTTATATGCTAGTATTTGCTCTAAATCCTTACAAGGCCGGTTGAAATCCCACAGGACCTTTTACACCCAGTAATGTACACACACTTACAAATGCCTGATAAAATGGGCAAGGTTGTTAACTTGGGATAGTTGTGTTTTACAAGTTGTCTCAATGATAACAAAAAACTAGCAGCCTTTTTTTTTTTTTTTTTTTGCTTTCAAAGACTCCTCCTAAGTCAACAAGCCACCCAAAAGACCTTTTGCTCACTAAAACAGATGTGATAACAGAAGCTGAGCTCAGCCTCGGAATGCAAACAGAGAACTGTGTTGAGGCAGACCACGGAAGCAATCCTTACATGCATTAACGCTAACCAAACTAGCAATTGAAAGAACAGAGAAGAGTCCGTTATCTATCCTGTCCACATCATATGGTGTTGTGGTTCCAAGTGCTAGCTGTGGTTTGAAAGTAGTTGAGTGCAATAACATGGTAGAAAAAAAAATGTTTCGGTTAAGCAGTTAGAAAACCACACACAAATATGTTGGTTCTTCGAATTAGACTCTCTCTCTCTTCTGAAGGCCACCTGCTATCTTTCAAGGATGAGCCAAGTCACGGCCAGTTCAAATTCCAGCAATGATATAGGAAGAGCTCAGAAGCACAGAGAGAAATAGATAAGCAGCGCCCCATTTTCACTTATACATTGCTTATGGAGGAATACATGCTCTTTAACTCTCTCTAGTTCTGGTTCTCCTTTAGCAGTTCAGTTTTACGTTCTCGGATCTCCACACAGGGAATCGATGAATGCAGCAATTAGGAAAATAAAATAAATATGAATGATTAGACATGCAATTTAGCTAAAAATCAGGAAATCAACCAAAAGTTCATCATCATCGTTTCAAACCTTTCTAGTTCTCTGACACTAGAAATAATCATGCTTTTTATCTAAATAGCACAGGTAGTAGAGAGGTAATGTTTTGCTCATTTTCATTTACATCTTAGCATACTTCAGTGAAGGACTTCATAAAGTTTATAATACAAGACCTCCCTGAGGAGATAGCTGTTGGAACTGCTTAAAATTGACAGCTGAACAATGTGGAAGTTACTTCCCACTACACCTTTTCTCGTGTTCTCATTTGCAAATGCAATACCCAATTATGCTACTATGGTAATAGACGAATGGAACTTTAGAGCAATTTAACAGGGGATCTTTCTATCACTCCAAAATCAGCTCCAAAGATGTGTATTCTCACACCTTTAGCAGCTAAACCAATCGATTTCTACCGTAGCCAAATGAAATAGCACAAACAAGTTATCTTTCTGTAAGCAACAGTAAAACCCCACAGAACATTTGGGCTGTCTCTCCATCATTGCAGATATTGTCCCCTGGCTTCATTTGACATAGCGTTCTAATTCTGAGTCCTTCAAAGGGAAAGAGGCTCTGCAGGTTCCATTTCATACCAATTCCTCAGATTAGCAAATGCAAACCATTTCAGGTGCTGAAACTGACATGAGGATTGTCTCCTTTTTCCTTCTCCTTGGCAGGAGATCAGTTCACTGCAAAACATCAGAGCAACTGTCTCATAAGGGAGGACTATTGATTTCGTCTGGCATGGGGAATGACGGGATTTTTGTTCTGCCACTTGCTGGTATCCCCAGTTCCCACAGCAACCTTCAGCATCCCATTCATAGTATGTACCTACCCTCCCATCTGCTTCGGCCACTTTAGCAACTTGCATCCAAGGTTAGAGTTATTGGGGAGAGTACTGGATTGCCAAATTGCCTTCTAGCAAAAGGCTTTTGAAATAACAGAGGAAAAGAAACCTAGAAGTGCCAACGTTGCTTCTTGGAGAAAAGTAATGACTGAATGGTCGAGGAAGATTCTCAGTCATCCAGGTAAAATTGTCAGGAAGTTGAGTCATGGCAACTGATTTTCTTGTCAGTTTAAGATGTTTTGCTGCCCATCCAAGCAGCTTCTCAACATCTCAAGCCAACAACCCCAGTTGCCACACCCAACTTCCTGTCAATTTTACCTGGATGACTGAGAATCTTCATCAACACATTGCCACATGATTTGCAGAAGAAATCCTGAGGTTGGTGCAGGAATACCCTGATGAATTTTAGGAGTTGGCACATTTCAGTGGCTCTCTGCCTGTTCAGATTCCCCTAACCCAGGGGTAGGGAAACTTGGCTCTTTCATCACTTATGGACTTCAACTCCCAGAATTCCTGAGTGAGCCATAAAAGGTTCCCTATCCCTGGCCTAGTGGTTTTTCCGTTGTGGGGGAAATCAATGTTTGACTGGAATGGGACTGTTTAATATACAAATGTAGGACATATTCTTTATATGTATTATATGTATATTCTTTATATTCATAAAGAATATGTCCTACATTTGTATATTAAACAGTCCCATTCCAGTCAAAAATTGATTTCCCCCACAACAGAAAAACCAGTAGGTCAGGGATGGGGAACTTTTATGGCTCACTCAGGAATTCTGGGAGTTGAAGTCCATAAGTGATAGAAGAGCCAAGTTTCCCTACCCCTGCCCTAACCAACTTGTTTAGACTGAAGAAGCTGCTTGGATGGGCAGTGAAACATCTCAAACCAACAAGAGAATAAGTCCAATTGCCATGATTCACTTCCTGATAATAACAACATGGTTTTCTTGCCTGTTCCTTTTGATCAGAAGGAGAGAGAGACAGACAGACAGACACACAGAGAGAGACAGAGCTAATTGTCTTACGCTGTTCCCTTCCTGCTCTCTGCCTTCTGAGATCTGTAGCAGTGAAAGTAACTGCATAGCTAACTTCAAAATGGTTTGGAGTGAAAAGAGCACCAAGTAGCAATGCCCTTAGAAGGAGTTTTTGAACCCACCACAGTAATGCTTTCAAGGCCATCTTAACAGCACTATGGGCCCCAGGCAAAGCAGAGTACTGGGGCCCATATGACAACTACTCACAGGAATAAAAATGTTAATGGTCAATAAAATTAAACATATATTTGCATGTTGGTATTAATTTAAAAAATGCTGTAAAATGTAATAAATATGTTGCTGTATTTATCTGATGCAAGGTGCATTGAAAGGTTAACATACACATATTAGTATGGGCCCCCTATGCTCGTGGGGCCCACGGGCAAGTGCCCATCAGGCCCAGGCGTTAAGACAGCCTTGTATAATACCTAAGAGAGTTACTTCCATTTGAAACATCAGGTTCTTAAAAGATAAAAGAACACGAAGCCCTCACATACCTACTGTAGTTTCCACATCTGTATGTTAACTTGGAATGGACTTTTTAAATTCTATTGCACATTGTCAGCACAACAAAAGACAGATAAAGCTGGAAGAGAAGCAGAAAATACACTGAAGTTTGCAATGTAGATTTTTCTTCAGTGGCTGTAGCTGATGCTCTAGTCTACTCCAACAGTAACTTAAGGCCTTTTTTTTTTTTTCAAAGGAAAAGGCATTTTTCAAAGGAAAAGGAAGGGTCCTGGAAACAGTTTTTTTCCCCTGCCTTGTCCACGAATGAGACAGCACTCAATCAATCTTCGATGAAGCGATGTTAAATTGCTATATTCCTCCTTATTCTACCTAGTCCAAGAGTACTGTCACCTTCTAACCCTGGAGGAAATTCATGTGACTTGAAAGAGAGGCAACAGAAGAGATCAGTAATGAGGACAGCCCATTTCATGCTAATATAGTTTTCTTCCGATTCAAGGATGGATAGATAGGACTCACCGGTGGGCAAAGGCAAGCATGGCGAAGGAAAAGAAATGAGCAGGAAGAGAGCACTTACCAGGTTTAATCTCCAGCAACTTCAGCCTGGAGTCCTCAGGGGGATGCAAACGTCTCTTCTTGCGCCAGCATCGAGCAGGATATGTATAGAGCTGCCCTGGAGCTAGTCCTGAAGGTCAAAAGGAAACAAAAATAAGAGAATAGATAATAGATAGATAGATAGATAGATAGATAGATAGATAGATAGATAGATAGAAGATAGATGGATGGATGGATGGATGGATGGATGGATGGATAGATAGATAGATGATACATAGATAGATAGATGATACATAGATAAATAGATAGATAGATAGATGATAGATAGATAGATAGATAGATAGATAGATAGATAGATAGATAGATAATAGGTAAATAGATGATAGATAGATAGATAGATAGATAGATAGATAGATAGATAGATAGAT